TGGATGTATACTGCAATAGTGAGACCAATCATCACTTACGGGGCTATAGCTTGGAGTAACAGAACTAGTTTAACTACTACGAGAGCTAATATCTCAAAAGTGCAAAGACTAGCCTCTGTTTGCATTACTGGTGCAATGAGAACCTGTCCTACGGCCGCAATGGAGGTGATCTTAAACCTCACCCCTCTACATTTGATGATATAGAATGTGGCAAAAAGGACACGAGATAGAATGATCAGGAACGGAGTAATCAGACGAAAGTCTACTTCAAAACTTCAAAACCACAGAGCTGAGCCGCAAGAAAGAATGGAGCCAAGAATCCATCGCCCTTGCAACCGAAAGACGTGTTATTCAGTGGTATACGGACGGTTCCAAAACCATAGAAGGAACTGGAATAGGAGTATATGGGCCGAGAACCAAGCACTCCGAAAGCTTGGGAAAATACCCAAGCATCTTCCAGGCGGAAATTCACGCCATCGAGAAGTGTATCCAGGTTAACATCGAGAGAAACTATCATAGACAAGAAATTATCTTCATGTCCGATAGTCAAGCAGCCATCTAAGCGCTGAGTTCTTACGTAATCAGCTCAAAAATGGCCTTTGTGGTTCGGGGATAGTCTTAATAATTCATAGGGGTATTTTTGAGATTTGTTTTCAACTTTCAAATTATTCAAAAGTATTTTTGCTCGTCATATTTTTACTTTTAGTTGTAAAATACATTTTTATGCAACTTATTTTCTTCACGGGTAAAATAATTATTTTACTTTTGAAAGTGTATTTCTTCCCTTTTATTGTATTTGAAAGAACATCCTGTAATCAAATTTTGGTCGGTATTTAATTCTTTCTATCTTATTTATTTAATTAATAATTAACTGACTTTAATTAAACGACGCTACTGATCATTCGATAATGTCCGGAATTTTGTCAGCTAGAATGTCCTGCTAGGTGAGAAAAATGCAGTTACTCTCAAATTTCATCTTGTTAGTGGAACAAAATGTTTTGTAAATTGTATAGGGTGAATAATAAAGAAATTTAAGCTGCAGCCTTTGTATTAGTACTCTATAGACATAGAATCTACCGCTGATTGGAATGCTTTAAACCGAACTAACTAAACGTACATTTTGATTCAAAAACTGTCTCTATTTATTTTTCACGCATTTGATTTTCCTTGAACCGACGCCAATAAAAGTTGGTATGCTTAAACGTTTTCAACTTGAGAGAAGAATCGGACTTTTCCACGATGACTCTGTGATTTTCAATTTATTTTCTAGAACATCTCATCGGGTACGCAGTTTCTCGCTTCAAATGTGTATTTATTTACTTCAAAGCGAGAATAATATATGGAATACGTGGAGATGTGAATGTTTTTAATGGAGAGCTCTCTGATCTTTAACCCCTTTTATTTGAAACACAAAGAACTTATTTTAATAAAGAAATTCTTATTTAAAAAGGTTAGGCATAATATTTTAAGCATAAATGTTGATTTAAATAATAGTGATAGTTTTTAAAAGTATTTAATCACTTTCTCTGTAACATCCTATTTGTGCTTACCAAATGCAAAGGTTTATATTTAAATGGCACATAATAAGTACGTCTGTGACAAAAACCTTCAACACGTTGACGAACTCATCTTGGAAGAGCGGGTGCAGCTTTTCAAGATATTCCAAAATTAATTAAAAATATACCCAATCGTTACGCGTAAGTTCATAAGTTAGAGGTGGCCATACACGTTATTTGACTGTTGTTAATTGTTTATTTTTTTCGGTTTTACTTTTGCTTCCCGAGCAGGTAACATATTGTATTAATTTTTTATAGAACTGTAGAAAATTGTAAAAGGTGATTCTAGTAAAAATCTCTAATTAAGTTGCTCCTTATTCGTTTATGTAATGTATGAACTATTGTATTATTATGTAGAAATTATACTTAGGCTTGGTTGCATGACTCAAATTGAGAAAAAGTTCAAAATAATCTTATTGTAATTATACATTTGAGTACTAAACTCGAATTGAACAACTAACTCTAAATTTCTAAATATACAACAAAATAGTACATTGAACATTGAGCATTATATGCGGATTCATTTACTGAATATTCCTCAACAATTTAGATTGTTTATTTTTAATAGTAGAAATTTTATTTTTATTATAGAATGTGATTTACACCGCATTTTTTTAACTATTGACACTTTCAAAAGAAAATTCCACTATCTGTCGGGTGAGTCATAGAGCTCAGAAACTTTTCCTCAAAGTAGTTCAAGGTTGGCACGATTTTATAGTTCTGTAATAATCAATATCCTTTGAAACAAGTTTTTTCAATAAAATACCAAATGTTATATTTGTGATCACCATTAAACATAACTTAAAATACTGAATATATAAAGTTACTTTCCTTACTATTTAATAATACAAGCAACTATTAGCAAAAATAAACTTTATTAATGATTAATAGTTGAATGCCAGAATAAATATCTTCTCATTTTGTTCACTTATCGTATATTGGCCGAAAATCTTTCAGTAGCAAAAACGTATTGTTCCCAAGCATATTATAGGGAGCGTCCAGTAAATATATGTAAGGAGTATCTAATAAATACCGGAATCTTAATCAATTTCTTAAAATAAACCAAATACACCTATATCTGTTAAACTGTTTACATTTAAGATAGCAGAGTTACTGTTTTTTATTTTACTTTTAGAAAAATAACAAAAATTAAAACACAGGATCTAAAACAGATAGACTTGATGTAGACAGCCGAGGATAATTATTTTAAATAAATTAATAAAATTAAGATGTTAAGTATATATAAAAATTCATATGGTCTGTTGTGGGATTCGAACCATCGGCTGCTAGTAATTTAATACCCAGGCAGCCGCGCTCGATGCATTGGGCTTAAGCTAATAATTGAGTGATTCAGTGCCAGAGTTGCCTATCCCATCAATTTTTTAAAAGTGTGTAAATATAGATCAAAACACCTTACCTGTGTCTACTAGACGTAACTACCTAATCTTTAGGCAGTGGCGGCTAGGGATAATTTGAAATGGGTGTTCACTTTTTCCAATAATTTTATCATTTGTAAGTTCGGATCAAAACTTTGTACAAGAGTCAATATCGCTGTTTTTTTTTTATTATTTGAGTTTGTATGAAGTGTAGTTATTATTATCAAATCATACTGTTTTCAAGCACTACAACTATTAATAAATGAATATATTAGTTAGTGTAATTTTTGTTTTGTTTTTAATACGTTGAAAGACATCTATAAACATTATTAGTTAGTAAACTAACTTTTCTTCATAATTTGAGATTATTTTTAAATATATATCAGGTTATGTAGAAACCTTGACATTGATTTTTGTATAAAAAATTTTATATGAAACTTTACCTATCATTTTTTAATTTTTATTGTAAGTTTAATCATTTTCACAATTTGTCACAGATGTCAAATAAAAAATATATTTTTTAAATACCTTTTATTGGCAAATAAAATAAGAACTAAAATGTTTTAAATGTTTATTTTATAAGATCAGTCCCATTACAATATATAATATTACACAGACACAAACTAGAATAAAGATATATAATGCCTGGCATTCTAAATGATACTCTTCGCAGTTTAACAGACCCCCTTAACCCCCATTTTTAACCGGATTGTTTTCACAATCAATAGGCCTCATCTCCTTAAAGAGTTTGATTTTTACTAAAAATTTCATGTTGATATCGCTTTTCATTTTTGATTTTTGTTTTTAATTTAAACCCCCCTTAAATCCCCCATATTTAATCAGATTTTTTTTATAATTAAAGGGCTTCTTCTCCTTTTAGAGATTGATGTTTGCTAAAAATTTCAAGTTTTATATCATTTTTCGTTTTTTAGTTAAGTTTTTTTTTATATTTTAACCTCCCTTAACTCCCCAATATATTCATATTTTTTTCAGTATCAATAGGCTTTATCTTTTTATAAAGCTTCATTTTAACTAAACATTTCATGTTGATATCGCTTTTCATTTTTAATTTAGGATTTTTTTTAATTTCAACCCCAAATTTCTCATAGAGTATATTAAATTAACTGGTTGATCCATTTTTCCGATTCAGACTTTTAAAGTGAAAAACCATTTGTCTCTTTATCTTTATCAATTTTTATTGTACATTTCCATTTCCATAATGATGTCAAATAGTTACCTCATCAGAATAATTAAATTTTTCTTTTTAGCGGGTTTTGTGGGAAAAAAATTTACAAATTTTTTGCTTACTTCTTACTTCATAGTATTTACAATTGTGTACAAAATAGACCATTTTGAAGTTGTCTTTGGACACTGAAACAAAATATAAAACAAATTACAGTCGTAAAACTTTATTTTAGGCATAGGTAAATAAACCAACATAACCTTAAAATTTTTTATTTACCTTGCCTTAAAGAAGTTTTTCGGGAACAATCGTTAAATTGAAACACATCCTTCCAATTTATTGCAATTCTCAATTAAACACATTTTTTTAAATAATCACAAATAAAATAATCTTAATTTTATTAAAATTGACGGAATGACAGTTTGTTTGATGTGGTACAGTGTTGCCAGAATATGTTTTTGTTATGTACCAGATTTGTCTAAAAAATGTACCAGATTCCTTAAATGTACCAGCGTGTCCGATGAAAGAGACGCGACACCACTTTTAACATGGCAATATTTGCTGCCTCTGCCTCGGTCTCGCGTTCCCAAATGGTACCTTTAACCTCTACGAATTCCACTTCTTACCATTTGCTTTATAAAAAAGCATTTTACCTGCATACCTAAAATTTAAAATTCAAGTAAACTATTTATATTTAAATTTACTAATATTATATAGTGATTTATTATAAATAGACCAATAATAAAAGCCTGCGGTATATCGAAAATTTGGAAAATACACCCAGTTTATAAATGTTGATTTGAACATATTCTGTTTATGATATATGAATTTAAAAAATATATTTAACGACTAGAACCGCTTATGACATGGTTGTTTTTGTTTCAGATTATTGAGAAGTAACAACGACATAACGCATCAACATATTGTTATTCCAGTCGTCGTTTTCGGCGATTTCTACACTGTATCCTCACCGGTTTTTAATTTAGCGGTTCAAAATTGCTGCCATGGGTCGCAAAAAAATACAAATATCAAGGATCACCGATGAACGGAATCGGCAGGTAAGCCATCTTTTACATTTTCCAGTGGCAACTCGTGGCCTAGTCTACAGTCTATTTAAATTTTTCAAAACCTACCAAAGCACTTTAGGTTTTCCGATAGGTCCTAGTATTCCTCTAATTTATTGATCTATTGTTCTACTATTTTTTCGTCAAGGTATATTTTACCTCATAATATAAACACTGATAGTTTTTTACCTACAACTGTACTGAAACCTATATTCTGTCATTGTGAACCCGAATATTTTGATAACGAGCCGTCACTGCTTGATACATTTTTTTTTTAATAAAATCTTTGAAAAATAGGTTTTTAATCTTTACACATATAAAATAAACACTGTAAGTAGTTATAAAAAGTAGTAAAAATTTAAGCTACTGGTAGTTTAACTACACAGTTATTAAACTACTTTTTAAAAGTAATTTGCCTGTTGATTTTTACACTTAGATTAACAATTATTTTTATTAAAATAATTTCAAAAAAACATCATCCGCCAAGACGGTTTCAAAATTGTTCAAAACCAATAAGGAAAATAAAAATAATTTTAGAGGCAGCCACATTTTGATTGAACCTTCCAAAATGTTATGACTTTTCTTTTTACTGCCAACTGTCTATTGTTTATTTATTCTAATTTTTACCAAAATATTTTGAATGTAATAAACTATCGTCCAATCAGTATGCTAAATAATTTAGCAAAAATTTTTAATAATACAAGTTTATTTTCAGAGCAGAGCTATTTCAAATTGTCAAATACATAGATTGTGCAAAAGCATTTGATAAAGTAAATTTCAAAATCTTGCTAACTTGGTTGAATTTGGTTTGGTTTACCATCATGTCCACAAATTAAAATTCAAATGGTAAAAGTTTCTAAATCTCACTTAAAGCAAATGTTGGTAAGTAAGCTTTGGATTCGTAGTACCACAAGGAAGTAATTTGTGCTCAATATTATTTATTATGTTTTTAAATGTACTGCCTAATTCTGTGGTACACACAACCTGCTTATTATATACAGCTGACTTCAAGTTGTTTAGAAGTGTATATATCTGATAAGCATGACAAATTAGTCAGACTTAAATTTCATGATTACTTACTTGGTCTTGGTCTAGATCTATTACAAGCAAAACAATAATATGCTTTTGTAATATATACACAGAAGTTAAATGTGTTCCATTAAAGTTATCAAAATGGATTTTTTAACAATTATATTGACATTTTTACTTTCCTATCTGTATACAGATATAAGGAAAGTATAGGAATCATGATTTTTTTCGACCTCGAGTTTTCGACGGATTTTTACGTTTTGAGGTCCCCTGAATCCGTTTTGACTATTTTCGCGATGATGTCCGTCTGTCTGTGTGTGTGTCTGTATAACGCATAACTCATGAACCGATACACAGAAAAACACCAAATTTTAAACTTAAGCTTTGTTTCAGCGTCCAATGAGCTGATTAGATTTTGGGCAGAGTCGGAACATCTGGGGGGGTACTTTATAGGTGGTCATTTTTATATTTTATGGAATATATCTGTTATTTACGTTTGGAGAAGAAAATTCTTCAAATAAAAGTTACTTCTAATATAATTATCTATAATTTTTGTTATATACAAAATTTTCCTAAAATGGTCCGTATTCGAGAAATTTTACAAAATGTAAAAAAAATAATTTTTTATAAAAATTGTTCAAATAAAAGTTGTTTGTAATATAATTCTCTATAATTTTTATTCTATAGATAATTTCTCTAAAATGGACCGTATTCGAGATATTTGAGAAAATGTGTAAATTTCGAATTTTGAAGAAAACTCAAAAACGGATAAAGAAAAAAACATTAAATTTTAAACTTAAGGTTTATTTCGGCCTGACGTGAAATGATTAGATTTTGGACATAGTCGGAACATCTGGGGGGGGTACTTTATGGGAGGCCATTTTTATATTTTATGGAATATATCTGTTATTAATGTTTGGAGAAAAAAATTGTTCAAATAAAAGTTACTTCTAATATTATTATCTATAATTTTTGTTTTTTGTAAAAATTTCCTGAAATGGTCCGTATTCGAGAAATTTGACAAAATGTGCAAAATTCTGATTTTTATGAAAGTTTTTAAAATAAAAGTTGTTTGCGATATCGATCTCTATAATTTTTGTTTATGCATGATTTTTCTAAAATGGACCGTAATGAAAAAATTGTAGGAAATTTAAATTTTTCAGTATTTTCGTTTTCCATGAATATCTATAGAAAAATGTTTCGAGGTAGATGTATGTGGACAATGTATATATTTAGTTTATCCTCTAAACATTTATAGAGATGCTGTAATAGGTTGTACAAAATAACCGGAAAAAGCCTACAATAACTAGATAGGAAAGTCATGTGTTGGACACATCAGATTTTTAATATTATGTACCTTAAAAAAAATCTTAAGAGCTGACCACTGCTTTTTTGTTTAATTCCTTTTCTTTTTTTTTGTACAGATGGTTTTATTTGTGTACTGTTTTTCATTATTATTTTACAATCTAATTACTTTACTTATTTTTCTAAAAAAATTAGGGACTAAAAAATGAAGAAGTCAGTAAAAATGCTCACGTTGTGTAAGGTGCCTTATTTATATTTCTTCGTTTTAATAAGAAAGATGTACAAAATATGTGTGTTTTGTGAAACATAAAAACTAAAGACGGAAATTGTGATGGTAAGAATTCACACCGAATGGCTAGCACCCGTGGCATATTCTTTTTCAAAACATCTGGTTTTATAAGATACAAAACGTTCAGACTCCGCACACATTGATAAATTCAAAAATTGAGTGGATGGGTATAAACTACAGGGTGATTTGAAAGTAAGTAGGTACCCTGAAGAGGCGGAAATACAGACATTTCTTAAATAATTTCTATAATAAATATATGTATCAATTTATATATTTAGAATTAAATGTAGGTATTTGTAAATATTTGGTTACAGAACAATTCAAAATTATTTTTTTTCCTTTTTATTGATATGGGATTCCTACGGAATCAGTAAATTTATCAGGCTTTAAATTTTTTAAATGTGAGTTGGATTATTATTATTTTTATTATTAATATTATTATTAAACGTATGTATTATTTTTTTTATCAAATAATTAAATAATGAGTATAGAAAGTAGCAGCAAACAAAATGCTGAATTTATTGAGCTGTACTACTCTTTTTTTTAATAGTTGCTATATATATTATAGCACTTCCCAGTTCAATCAAAAACATAAGTAAAACGGCAGCTGACGGTTTAGTACAGGTTTCTGTCTAATTGCCTGTTTTGGTCCTATATTGGCCAAAATTGGTGTTGCATATTGGAAAATAAATTTGTTGCCAATATGGTACCAACATGATGAATAATGTGGAATGGATTAAATAAATGTATTTAATCAACGACTGGTTTTATTAAGTTTTCATAAAGAACAAAAGTGAATTGCACTTTTATTTTAACATCAGTTTTACAAGTAGTCAAAAAAAAAGGTGACATCAGACAATTGACAGAATACAAGTGACATCAATCATAGATCATGAACTAACTAGACATTAACAAATATAAGGGTAGGGGTTACAAAGATACAAGTGAGAATTATATTTAACACAACATTCGTTAAAAATGTTTAATATTGGCCCAACTTATAAATATTGGACCTACAATGCACCAGTCTGGGTCCAATATCTTGTGCTACAGGGGTAGGTCAGGGGTGTCGCAAGGTGTAACCCTCGTATTCAATTCAGCAATGTTTTCATTTTTGTTTTGTTTCAGGTGACATTCAACAAACGAAAATTCGGTGTAATGAAGAAAGCCTACGAATTATCAGTGTTGTGCGATTGCGAGATAGCCCTGATAATATTTAGCAGTAGCAACAAACTCTACCAGTACGCCAGCACGGACATGGACAAAGTTCTACTTAAATACACCGAATACAACGAGCCACACGAGTCCCTGACCAATAAAAATATTATCGAGGTACATCAAATCCAGCAGCAACTTGATAAATACGTGGCTGATGCAAATACGATAACTTGTTGCCCAGTAAACCAATCACTGTTGGTAGAGATTTTTTAGCCTAAAATAAATTTTTAACAAGATTTTTATTCGTTTATAGCATAGTATTTAACATCGTTTTAATATGAAAGTCAAATTAAACATGAAATATTTGAAATACCAATAAATGCATTAATTTTTATTATGATCACACGGAGCAAGTAATTTCTGACGATTTGATGAATCTTTCTTGATTGAAAATATTCCTCCTGTAATTATTGCGTTATTGTATCGAACAACGTTACATAATATCATACTTTTTTTACGAAACTTTAATAGGTTCTCTATATTAAGAAAGTCTTTCAAATTTGGCAAATATGGCGAAGAAAGATACTTAAAAAGTAAAGTATACCAAAATAAACCACAAAATCTACATGAGACAAAAAGAATAGTTTACTGCTCGTCTTTCTCACTGTATTTGCTGTAAATGTAGGTAGCATTTTTTGAAATAATAAAGATTATATTAATAAAAATATTTGACAGTATGCAAAACTCAATTACCTACTTAAAAAATAAAATAGATTAAATAGATAAAAAGCAGATAGTTATGATACTATAGTTCCGAGTTCCTAAAAGATTCATACAATTGCAAATAGACCAAGCTCTGGAAGTAGTTGAATGTGCAAATTAGCTTTCAAATGAAGTGTAACAATTTTTTATCAAGGTAGACGGCGCTAAAATCAAAAGTAACGCAATAAATAATGTTACTGCCGAATTCTCCATCAAATTACCTTTTCAATGATGTTGTTCGCCCTACTGCTCAAGGGTTGAAGTGAGGATGTTGCAATACAAAAAAAGTGTTCCCGTCCAAACTAAAATAGACCTGTCCGACCGTTTTTAACACCCACGATATTAATACCTAAAACCCCCATGTCAAGTTTTCGTTGGGCCAGCTTGTATACAGGGTGGGCCACCTATAACGCCTGTTTTCACAGTGATATGTATATCAGAACAGGCAACAATTTAAAAATAATTTCAATTATACAGGGTTCTTGAAGAAAATAATAGATATCAAAGTTAGGTTTTTTTAAATAGGAAACTCTGTATTTTATTTTTTTATATTTGAATTCCCATTATAGTGCGGTATTTCAGATGCTATAACCAGTTTTATATAAAAATCGTATTTATTTCAATGACCTGTATACTGCAAAATAAACAATTAAAAAATAATTTTGTTGTGGTAAAAGTTTTCGATATTAGTCAAAATTTTATGCCGATGCACTAATTTTTTCAGCTCAAAACAAATTATACAGGGTGGATCAAAACTTATTTTTTTTTTAATCAATACTACCTCTTTTGGTTCCTTTTATAATTTTAGTATTTTGTTTGAGAAACCAAAATGAATTATTTAAATAACCAATACTTTTGGAACAACCTATATTGCACAGAATATCTAACAATTGTTTTATTGGACCAAAACAATTATCTATTCATTTATGAAAAAGTTGATAATGGATGTTGCTTAGATATATTTCAGTTTATATTTGCAACTATTAATAATAAAAAAATAAAAAAGAACGTCACTACACATTAACAAATAATCTAACAACAAGTGTACATGGTTATTTAGTTTGCAAGTCAAATACACGGCCTTGTGCAAAAATTTAAAACTGAATAATAGCTTAATTAGGGTAAAGTGGGGTATTTTTTTTTTTTATTTATTAGGCTCCTTTAAAGGAATTGATAAAAAAAATTGGTAAATGGTGGCGGAAAATCTATTCGAAACTTAAAAAACATACAAAAATTACCTTTATAAAAGTGAAAAATAATACAGGCCAGGTTAAATATTTATTGATGCAATAGTACCTACAAAAGAAGATAATAGAGGTACAGTAATAATACTATGTTATGTACCTACTGCGACCTAAGAGATCTATTGTGTCCTCCTTCGGATATCTGCTTCTCAAACGTTAGTATATAATGTGGAACAACGAAAATTTGACATGGAAGTTTTTGGTATTAATATCGTGGATGTTAAAAAACGCCTGTACAGGTCGATTTTAGTTTTTTTTTCTCCTGTACCTCTTGGTTATGTGGTCTGATCTCATGTCTAGCACGTCTCCTGTCACTAACCTTGAGATACTCATGTGACCTGGCCTAATGTCAAAATTTCCCAGTGTATTCCCTAATCTGTAAGCACCTAATCTTGCCTCCCCTTGAATTACATAGTGAAGAGGTGGGAGTCCTAGTAGTGCTTCCATTTCAGCTGTGGGGGTTGTTTTCATTGCCCCCCGTTATTCCGAAGCAGGCAAGTTTTTGTACCTTGCTTAGCCTCGTTATTGCTTTCCTTTGCTGTGTCTTTGGCCACCACACCGAAGCTGCGTATGTTATTATCGGTCTTACCACCATGTTATAAAGCCAATATACCATGTCTTGTTTTAACCCCCATTTTTTTCCATCATTAACGAGGTTTCCGCTCTCCTTGTGGTTTTTTCTAGATGCTGGTTCTAAGTAAGTCTCGAGCCAATCATAACCCCGAGATATTTTACTTCCCCCTTAAGCTGGATGCTTGCACCTCTTAGGTTTAGAGGCCCTAGTCCCTCCAATTTCCTCCTGCGGGTGAATGCAATTATGTCAGATTTGTTTGGGCTATTGTTTAGTCCTTCCGCCTCTGTCCATTCTGTTACTATATTTAGAGCCTCTTATTATTGCGTTACTTTTGATTTTAACGCCGTCTAACTTGATAAAAACTGTTACATATTGCAAATAATTTTATTACTAATTCAATGCACCACATAACATTGATTTAAACATCTCCAAATTGCATTTGGAACAGTTTGAAAATTAGTCATTGTTTGCATTATTGATAACTTTGTTTTGTTGTAAATGCAATATGGAGATATTTAAATTAATGTTGTGTGGTGCACTGAATTAATAATAAAATTAGCTAATTATATCATTTAAACGGTATAAAATAAAACAAATATAACATAAATAAAATAGTACCGGTCGGTGATAGAAAACTTTTCAAATTTAAACATTGTGTTTAATTTTTTATATGGATACCTAAACTAAGAAAATTACAAAACGAATACCAATTTGACTTAAATTATGAGAATTAAAATTAAATATTTGAGGAATATACACCGGATATTTTGATCAAATCTCTGAAGTTTACAAAGCTTACTTCCTAACATTTTATTGATATATAATTTAAACTTTTTTTTTTTTTTTTAATATTATGGTATTATTAATAATGATAATACTATAGTAGATATCTGAAGTATGTTAAATTCTTTATTGAATTTCAGTAAAACAATATAATAGTAATTAATTTGATGCAGATTTTCCTGTTATATCACATCGCATAGAATAAATAAATATGGCTTGATTAAAATTTATTTAGGCCAGTGACTTTACTGGATGACTGACTAACGTTTTTCTATTCTAACAAGTAATTTTTATGCTTTTTTTTTGGTAATATGTTATCGATTTGCTGCATTGCCTGTTATTCACACGAGTTGTTGCTTCAGTTTGGAAAAATTTTAACCTACCTATTATTAGTTTGCTAGATGTGTGGTAGATATCGTACAATTCTAATATTTACATTACAAATGTTTTTGTTAGAAATAAATAAGTTTCATAACAATTAATAATCTTACTTAGTTTGATCCATGACTTATGGGACACCCTGTATACTGCTACTTCATAATTTTAACAAATTGTAAGTTAAATATTAGAAATGTACGTTTTTATAACAGATAGAGTAACTAGACGAGATTTGTTAAGATTAAAATCTTGAAATATTTTTTCAACAAGTATTTTTTGACTGACGCGACTCCACTGGAATTGAAATTGCTTTGTATTTTATAATATATGGCTATACTTTACTTTGTAAAAGTAATGTTTTACACATGCAAATCAAACTTTCCATAAAATGGAAAGACATTTTATTTTTCCAAATAATATATTTTCTACAAAATGCAAATTTATAAAATTAATATTCTATCCTCATGTTATAATGATTACATATTGTAATTGCGTATTATCTTTGATACATCAAAACACTTTAAAAAACGATATGAGAAATAAAAAAAATTGAATCTGTTTCCGATAATATATTGATCATTTCAAATTCAGCAATGCTTTCGTCCAAATTCAGCGCTTATATTTAAAAATTTGATTTTTTGTATCTCTCTTATCTTGTAACTTAGTTCCGCAACGTCAAAATACGTGTATCTTCTCTTTACTGCCCTAATATGGCCTTATTTTGAATGTTCCTTCTATTTATTTTAAGCGTACCTGTGTATCGTATATCTTTCCACTTTTATGCATTCTAATTAAATTCTCGGTCCATTTTAGTTGCTTCTCCTCTAGTTTATATTTGAGTGGTTTCCTTTTCTCCTGATATCTTATTTCCTTTTTTTACTTCCTTTTGCAACTTTTCTAAAATACTTAATTTCAAAATAAAATGAGGCATTGGATACTGACATTAAAAATGGACCGAAAATGTATCTGAATGGTAATTATAATTTATCAACACAAAAATACATACATACTGTTAGCCAGTGTTACATTTTGTTCACATTCAAAAAAAACAAATTTCCAAAGCTTCCTTTTTTATTTTAAAAAAGCGCAATAATAAATATAATATAACTAAAACAGCCCTACCTCTTTCAATGCTTTATGGATCTATTTTTTTGGACTAGCCCCTATTATATTTAGTATTTCTACATATTTCTTTTCATCTTTTACCTTCTCTTATACATTCTTGATTCCTGTTTCCTACTTCTTTTACTTGATATTTAAATTTGGCTTCTTTGCTATTATTTTTATTTATTTTCAATCCTATTTTCGGCTATCTTCTGGTTTAATTCATTTATTACTTTTATCATTATATCCTTTCTAGTAACAGCAATAGTAAATACTACAACCACTTCATTTCAGCGTACCATGTGCTAAATTTACTTAGATATTTTCGTATGGCCATTTTATTTTTCAGTTTAACCAGGAAAAATACGAGTTTAACAAGAAATTTATTCACGTTCAGTAGAGTTAAGTCAGCCTATAAATATCCGTTGTATAAATGCTACTAGATTCCGTAGAATAACTTGCACCTACCTTACAGCATTTTCGTAATTTTACGGCAAACCCTACCTACTACTGTAAGAAAACGAAAATGCTATACGTAAATGCAAGTTATACAGGTCCGGTAATATAATTCAACGTAAGTCGACAGTTAGGCATCTTTATGCTCTCAATGAACTTTGTCAAATTGAGTTGATTTATTACCGAACCAACAGAGAAATTTTAAAAAATGTCGTCTAGTCTAGTATGTGTGGTGTATGTGTGTCACCCCGTGGTATTACTCCATGAGCTGGTCCACTGACACTTGCAGGCACTTAATAAGAAGGAGCATAAGAACGGAGTGATGAGCCCTGACAGCCCCGAACCTGAGACTGAATACCAATTGACACCTCGTACTGAAGCCAAGTACAGTAAGATAGACGAAGATTTTCAGATGATGCTACAAAGGAATCAAATAAACGGACAAAGGGTAATTAAATCATTAATATTAATATTAGTTTCTAAATAAAAAAGTACTTTTTATATTTAAGAGAAAACCGAACCCTTTAAAAATGTATAATTCCTTGTCTGGAAATACCAGTAATAACAAAACTGATGGTGAAGAAACCTTTAATTTTTTGTAAACCTTCGAAAAGTATTTGAAAATTTTTATAAGGAATTAAAAAAAAATATTTACGCGCCATTCTGTATTAAATCTATAAAAATTTGCTGTTTTTTGCTCGAAAAGATCACACAAATTATTTATTATTTAATTTTTTTTTATTTCATGTACTATTTATCGGCAGTTATGTTATTTTAGGAATGGGGTGTTAATACACTGCGACCTAAAAGATCTATTGTGCCCCCTTTTGTCGCCAATGCACTAAGGAAATGTCTCAATGCCTATAAAGACCCTTCCAATCCTATTTTCTCAAGGAAGTGTAGGATTTGAAGTGGCTTCAAGTGAGGTAAATCTCCCTCTTCTATTTGATATCCTCCTAGATATAGTGCCCTTGTATTCTGGAGTGCTACACGTTCAGTTAGGATGTGAATGAAGGTTTCGTCTTCCTCCTCCTCACAGAATCTGCACTTACCAGCCTCTACTACTCTCATTTACTTAGGTGTCCTTTTAGTCGGCAATGCCCGGTAAGGAACCCTGTTATAATACGTAGCCTGTTCTTGCTCAGGCAGATGCAGGCTTCCGATCTTTTCTGGTTATATTCACCCAGAAGTATCTTGGCCTGTCTCAGCCCCAAGAGATTGTTCCAAATATCGGTTTTTCTACTGCCCAATTCTTTTTTAATCTCTTCTAATATGTTACTGCTGATACCTCAGAACGGCTCAGGTCCTACAGAGGGTGTTTGAACCCCTTTCCTTGCAAGACTATCTGCAATCTCGTTACCTTGTACCCCGTTATGTCCCGGGACCCAAGTGAGAGTAACTCTATTTTTCTCGCCTAGCTCATTCAATTGTTTTAGGCATCTCCAGACCATTTTCGAGCTGATTACCTAAGAGCTCAGCGCTTTGATGGCTGCTTGACTATCGGACATGGTGATAATCTCTTGTCTATGATAGTTTCTCTCGATGTTAAACTGGATACACTTCTCGATGGCGTGAATTTCCGCCTGGAAGATGCTTGGGTATTTTCCCAATCTTTCAGGGTGCTTGGTTTTCGGTCCATATACTCCTATTCCAGTTCCTTCTATGGTTTTGGAACCGTCCGTATACCACTGAATATCACGTCTTTCGGTTGCAAGCGCGATGGATTCTTGGCTTCATTCTTTCTTGCCCAGCTCTGTGGTTTTGAAGTTTTTCACAAAACTGTACTTCTTTAGCATTTCATCCTGGGGCATGTCCCAGGTATCTTTAGTCCGGAAGCAAGTAGATTTTCGTCTAATTACTCCGTTCCTGATCATTCTATATCGTTTCCTTTTTGCCACATTCTCTATCATCAAATGTAGAGGGGTGAGATTTAAGATCACCTCCATTGCGGCCGTAGGACAGATTCTCATTGCACCAGTAATGCAAACACAGGCTAGTCTTTGTACTTTTGAGATATTAGCTCTCGTAGTAGCTAAACTAGTTCTGTTACTCCAGGCTGTAGCCCCGTAAGTGATGATTGGTCTCACTATTGCAGTATACATCCATCGCAGTATGTTTAGGTTACATTCCCATCGTTTGCCTGCAATGTTTCTGCATACCATTAGGGCTTTTGTGGCCTTATTTACTAGTTCTTTCTCATGCGTATTCCAGAGAAGTTTGTTGTCCAGGGTTAGGCCTAGATATTTGACTTCATTTTTCCATTCTATATCTATCCCGTCTAATTTCACGGTTTTGCGATTAAGTTGCCACTAGCAAATATGACTATGTCGTCGGCATAACCTTGACAGAGTATGCCGAGGTCAGTCAATCTGCATAGAAGTTCGTCTACGGTTACGCTTCACATTAGTGGGGATAGAACTCCTCCTTGTGGACATCCTCTGGTTGTGCAGGGCAATTACAACGAATAAATCTTTTACAGATTCGACATGTGAAAATATTTCTTTTTTGCACTGTTCGCTGATAAAATATGCAAGTATATTTTGTCCTCGTAAATTTTAACTTGATACTTTTTTCTAGTTTCCTATATAAAAATGTTTTCTAATATAGAAAACGGTTTTTACCCCTTGAGATCTCTCGAAATCATAGCGGTTTTAGCATGTGATTGTATATGTATATTAAAACTCTACTTCTCCGTAAATTTTAATTCGATACTTTTTTCTGGTTCCCTTTAAAAATATTTTCCAATTCAGAGGATAATATCTACCTCTTTGGATCTCTCAAAATTATAGCGCTTTTTTTAACGGGATTGTAGGTACATACTAAAACTGTACTTCCCCCGTAAATTTTAATTTGTTACGTTTTTCTGGTTCTCTGTAAAAAAGTCTAATTTAAAGGGTGGTATCTACCCCTTTGGAACTCTAGAAATAATAGCATCCGTAGAACGTGATTGTACATAGTTAAACTATACTTGCCTCGTAAATTTTAACTTGATAGTCCGGGCGCGTAAAATACGTTTTATGCATCCCAATATCACTTACACTTTTTCCTATGGTAAATTCCATTCTTGTTAATTTGCCTATTATTTCAACAAGATTGCTATTTTCATATCCATATTTCTTCTTAAGATTTTTATGTCATATTTAAATCAATTTTGTGATCTGACAATGTGTTTTACAAAAATAAATTAAACTCTAGGTGATCCAACCTTTCAGAAATGTTATTTACCTATTTCTTTCATCAGGAAACTTATAATAATGTGTGGTATGTCTTAATAATAATAATAATAATGGGGGGGTGGGTTGGCTCAGTGGTTAGAGTCATGACTCTGAGATCGGAAGGTCTCAGGATCGAATCCCACCGATGGCAGGAATTTTTATTTAATTTAAGAAAATTAAATATTAATTCAAATGCATAGGTAGGATTCCCCACTCGACCATTCACTGTTGGGTTCTAATTAACAGTGCTGTTCCTAAAGTGGCGCCTGGAAACAGTAACAAAGCCTACACAGAACACGAGGCTAATGGCCATAGTAGTCGACGCCGATGACACTAAATAAAAAAAAAAAAAAAAAAAAAAAATAATAATAATGATTAGAGTGAGCTACTTACATCTTTGTAAGGGTGAATTAATGATGTTAAATAGTACGTGAAATTATAGTCTCAGAAACACTTTGATTTTGTATTTAAAGATGTAAGCTTTAAAGTATTTATTTTGTTAACGTACACTATTGTAATATCATTTAACTTAGAATGATTAACTTTCAATTTCAAAGTTCTTAACTAAAAGTAGATTAAATTGGATTTTAAAGAAACTGGGATACTTTTGCTATCATTGTTCAATTGATCCTTGTATATAAACCTCACAGAAAGATTCTGGAGCAATTTCAGCTTTCTCGGGCTCCAATTCATCGACTTTTACATTGCACCAAAACTTTTCGTGAATGTATTTATATTTTATTACTAACTAGCTTAATTCTCATTTCAGAGTAGTATGAGTTCGTCGAATTACTCCCAACCCGTTTCGGTACCTGTCAATATAAGCTACAGTGATTCTGGTCTTCTCCAATCTAGTCCCCAAATGGCTCATACAAATATAAGCCCTCGACCGTCTTCATCTGAAACAGACTCCGTTTATCCCAGCGGCGGTATGTTAGAAATGAGTAATGGCTATCCCAATTCAGCCTCACCCATGGGAAACTCACCGTCACCTGGGCCGTCTCCTGGTCCGGGCCTCAGCACAACCAAGCAACACCCCAAGCAACACTCACCCGGACCAAGAAATTTAAGAGTAGTTATACCAGCAGGTTTAGGACCTAGTATTACAACTGATGAAGTTTCTTATTCAGAAGTAAGTTCTTTAATAATGTTAAATGTTAATTAGTTAAAATCCTGTTAAAATATTAAGTAAATTCGTTTTATTTAGTTCTAATAATTAGTTTAACAAATTTTTTAAAATCCGAACAAACCTATTAAGTCACTTGAGAAAACTTCTGGCATATTTTATGTAACATGACAATCTAGGGTAAATATTAATTTGTAAATTGTAAAAATTAATTTATTATAAATATACAGGATGGGAAGGATATGGTTTCAAAGGCCCTTTGATCAGTCCTATGTGTAGTTTAAAGTGAAATTAGATTTTGTTGCAGCACAATCGAACTTTATCAAGTCTTAACACACCCGTTGTGGCATTGCAGACTCCCGGTTTGTCCAACTACCAGAGCGCATTGAGTTCCTTTGGAGCGCAGGACTTCAGCATGGGATCAGACATGGGTCTGGCGTCAATGTCCTGGAGCCATCAAATACCTACGTCCCTTACACATAACACTTCGTGCCTACCCCACCTTGCAGTTTCTAGCAGTACTCCGCCTCCTACGTCGTCATCACCGCTTCCTGTTAAAATTAAAAGCGAACCAATATCACCTCCCAGAGAACACCATCCTCATTTGAGTACAGCCGTCCACCATTCACATGTTCAAACTTTGAATCTAACCCACAGGTAAGATTTTCTATTTTTTTCTTACTTATTTGTTGAAATTTCCTGGAACAAATTATTTGAAAAATAATATGCAAATGGTTCACAATTGCTTGAGAATATTCCGTTTCACAAGAGAAGAACCCACCCCTGAAGTTGCAGTCGTATGCGCGAACGTGTCGTCATAACCAGCGCAATATTATACATTTGATGTTTGACTTCAAATCAGTAGCGTAACCATTTCAAATTTAATTTTTAAATAAATATAAATATGAAAATGGTGTTGTCATTTTCACCAGTTTTAATGCATGAAATGTTGAAATAAAAAAAATGCAATTTGCAAATCCCTTATAGACTCTATTGAATATGTAATACAGAAAGGAACGATCACTTTTATGGGTTTTTATGGCATAAATCATTCAAACCCTTAGTTTTTTAATTTTATTTCGGAAACAAAGCAATTTCACATCGAATTATTTATTTAATTTTTTTTTAGGGAAAAATTATAAGAAAAAAAGAATTACAATTGCTAAAGATCCATTTTTACTTTTTTGCGTATAATTGCTTTCTGAGCAAAGCAAAATTCATGCAGTTAATATAATTTTTATTTCACATCAAATTATTTATTTAATTTTTTTTTTGTAAAAAATATAAAAAAAGAATTTAATACGCAAAAGATTAATTTTTGTTTTACTTTTTTTTGCTTATAATTGCTTTATGAGTAGAGGTAAGTGCAGGCATTCCTTCATACAACAAAAAGTATATTAAATTTCCTTTAAAATCTTGGGTTATAAACGTTTTTTGGATAAAAATTGACTAGCTGAGATATTGACCTCTTAGGACATAATAGCCTATTACTTCAAGCCCTAAATATATCGTTTAGGTAATAAAAAAAGGTAAAAAACACAGAATAGGAACTTATAGAATTATTTATTTTAATTTAGGAATGCTAGAAAAATATTGTTAACATATTTATCGACTACTGTAACGTACGGCGCGGCATTTATTTGTCATCCAATTTTCTGGTAAACGAGACACGGTTTCAGATCCTACGGAAGACCATGTGAATTTATTTGCATGGTTCTCTATGGGGTTTTCCGGGTTTTTCTCACCTGTGAGTCAAATGGCACCATCAAGCATTTTTAAGTCGCCCCGGAGCGCCACGGCAAATAATAATAATAATAGCCGTCCCTTTCCCCGCACAAGCTAAGCTTTTGGGGTTAAAATTTACTCGTGAGGGGGTGAATTAGGGAGAGTATTATTATTATAATATTATTATTATATTGATTATTAAATGTTTACTCAAATTACTGGCAAAAATCATTGAAAAGTTGGAACTCAAATGCCATAATATGGCATAATATGCAACTTTTAGTATTAATTTTTAAATTTTGAAAAGCAGTGAAAAATATATAAATTTTTAAAACATTTCACAACTAAAATCTTTAACAAAATCAAACGATAAGTGTATGAACAATGAATACAAAATAGCTTAGTGATATTTCTTATTTCTTATTCAAGTGATTGCTAGTTGCACATGTGAGAAATATTTTACAAAATTTAATACTTTTTATCCTTACTTCAAAAATTCAAACTTGTTTAATCCCATTTATAGTTAAACAAATTGATGAAAAAAATAGAACAAATTTAATCTAGACCCACACGAAAATTTACTATTTTGTAAACAAATTAAATAATAACTAAACATTCCGTAAACATATGAAGTGAAGGATTGAAAGTTTTATTTGAATATAATTTAATACAAAAAAAATAAAAATAGCAGTGCAACATGTCATATTAAGACATTGTAATTTGTGTTGTCTAATTTGACTGTTAGAATTATCTTTTATTATATATTGTTTTAAAACCAATGAAAAAACTATAAATAACAATAGTATAATTTACAAAAATTTATCTAAAAATCAGTACATGTTTTTCGTTCTAGCCCAACATTTTTATGGACGCTAATGAGTGAAGTTATTCGTTTTTACACACATTCAAATTAAATCATTTTTACTACTATAGTGATTACTATTAAACAGCGTTCTTCCCTAAACTAAGTTAAAACATGTTATACCTGATATATACAGTGTTTATAAATATTTGGGACAATCGATACTTAAAAAATAACACTTTTCAATATACCTGAACGAAATATTAATAAGGCATTAGGAATAAATCCTTTTTCTCCACCTGCATGTACAATTACAAGTCTCCTTCCTTTTGAGATTGGCTTCTTCAAACCTTTTCCTGATATATCATACCATCCCCTAGATTGCACATGTGAGCTGTGGATGTATGTTTCATCAGTATATATAATATTCCAGCCTTCATTTCTATATTTAATAACATTTTCTAAGAAAGTAATTTTTTTGTTGCGAATATCATAGGATTCCATAATCATCTTTCTGTTATCTTGTGTGCGTTGCGATCTAGAATTAAGGCATTCTTTTTAATTAAATACTTATGCATGTTACTTATTTATATTTTTAATGTCACAATGTCTATTCTAGTGCTATATTATTTTTTTCTTCTAAAAAGGCTACTAAAAGTACTTACCTATACCCCTTACTTTTTAGCAGCCTCCATAAAGAAGTTTTACTTGCTGTAAATTCTGGTACAACAGTTTGTACTTTGTTAAGAATACCTAGAAAAATATAAATTCCTTAATAAAAAACTTTTTTCTATAAAAATTATTAAAATACTTTCGAGCCTAAAAAATTTTTACGGTTAAAAGTGAACTGACAGAAGTTTCTTTCGAAGATTTTTAGTATCTGTCAATGGTACAATATAAAAAACTTGATTTCAGACACTTAATACAAAAATAACTACAAACTTACATTTTAAACTAGGAGCCCTTTTCTCCAGGATGTAAAATCATAAACGATCTCCCGAATCCTTTCCAGTTCTCCAAGTTTTAGTTCTTTCAATATATAGCTAAGGCTTCTGGTGTAAGTACTTTTACTCACACCAGTTGCTTTTAGAGTTCGTTCTCTGCAATTTAAAAATATAGGTGTTAAAAATCAGCAATATTTACATTGTATGGTTGTGGAAATACTCCTAGTTATTGGTTATTGCATTTAATAATAATAGTTGGTAGAGAATAGGAGGATTTTTTAGACAAACCACAAAATGTTACTTATAATCTATGATCTTATTAATTTAAATTCTCAAAATCTTAACTATGATAAAATGTTAATAGACATTAACCACTAAAATTTTTCAGACTTCATCTATAATTTTTTTTTTTGTATTTACAGTCACCATCCTCGGCCTAGTTCTGCTGGCCAGATAACACCGACGCCAGGCAGTGTGACTCCTACGAACCTCCCTTCGCCTACAGGACCTGCCAGTAGCGGTACAGAATACAGCGATACCGTACCGATGCATAAGCGGCCCAGACTTACAGATTGGCCTTCCTAGAGCCGCCGCTAATGTTACTGCTTGTTCTCAACTACGTAGGACACTAAGTGCCATAGTGATATACACGTGTGTGGATGATTAGAACATAGTGTTACTGTTTCAATTGCCAATTATCATCCATGTGATAAACTACGAGTCTTGTAGAGCAATTATTTCTACTTTTCGAACTGATAAACCAGTTTTAACTTTGTAAGTGAGAAGATAATTTTTTTGTAAAAAAGAAAAATAAGGTTTTTACTAAGATGAAAAATGTATGTGTGAGGTGGTGTAAAGCTTCAGTAAAGTACTCTACTCTCGATTCTGAATTCAAAATAACATGTGTACCTCTTCTAACGCAGATACGAGTAGCCATTTTTTTTTAATTATAAACTACTTATACTTTCATAAAAGGATCATCATAACTATCAACTTTTTTTTAAAGTTATTTAAATAAATCATGTCTTTAACAAAAAAAAAAACGAGATTAATGAGGACTCTTAAGAAAAATAGTCTATTTTTCAAATAATTTACTTTAATAAAGTATTAAAAGTGCACCCATTATTGGCATTATGACCAAAAGTACCTTCAATTGCGATCGTCAATTTGTCGAAAATCAATTTGCGATATTTTTAAAATTTGGAACGTAATACCAAATATAAAAAAAATTATAGGGTCAAATAAACATAAAAAGTTGATTTGAACTAAAAAGAAATATGCATTTTGCTTCCACTCTTCGTCATACAGTGATATAGTATTAAAGATCTGATGAAAACTAGTGATTTAAAGAGTTCATTGGAAAAAAGCACTATCAAGTTATTCATATCAGCAGGAAAACCAATAGATCAGTACTATTCCTGTATTTGCATCAACAATTATAAAAAAGAATGAAATCACAACACATTTATAGTTCTAATGCAACTTAAAGAGATTTTTGACATATTTTTATTGTCAAAACTATTATTTAAGGAATATACATTGCCTATCCCAATTACTAAGAAATTATTTAATTTGAGCTGATCTTTTCACTTCTGAGTGAAGTTACATGTAGGGTTTCGAACTATAGCCTAATTTGGCCCTTAAATAAATAAAATTATAATCTAAGAAAATAAAACTGCTGTATAATACATTTTTAGTAATACACTTATTGGGGTTGTAAACACGTTTACCAGAGAAATGATATATAGTATATTTAAAATATTGCTACTTTAGACTATAAAGTGCAATTGTAATGGCTCATCAGCTTTTTATTACAACTACAATTATTGCATTGAACACAAATGCGAATAATGTAAATACGTGTGCTTGCTCTCTTTAAAACTTTCTAGCACTCAGGATTCTCCTGTAAATATCTATATATGTCTTGGTGATCAATCACACCAAATATTCATGTTTACAAGTGTAATTAAAATAAGGAAATTGTATTATCCGACAATACGATTTGGCTCACCGATTGTGCATTACTTAATAGAGCTACCAGTTTTTAGCTTGACGATAACTTGTATCGATCGACTCACAATTAATTGACAAAAAGTTTTACCAACCCTGTGATATGTGGTCTTCGGCATTTAACGTAGTTTATATGAAGCATCGTCCATCCTAATCTCGTTTTTTTTTAGCTTAAATTGCTTAATTAGTGATCGGTTTTGATTTGGAACCATCTAGCAAATAATGGCAGTGAATGAGTATGCAATTCAACAAAACTTAAAGGCTGTAGTGCCACCAGAGTGACAAAAAAAGAAAAATTGTGAAATATGGTTATTTAAAATACATATCTGAATATATATTAAATTGATTAACCAAAGAACTGCCAGGCTCTTGAAAAAGATCTTCCACTCACCAATCGCAGTATCTGTTTACTATTAAAATTAAAGTTTGTTAGCTGTGAGGTTCCTTCATCAATTTTTTAAATGAATTGATTCATAAAAATTTTAAACCATATCACCCACCCTATTAAGAATTCTTTCGAAATACTGACAAACGAGGGTTGTGCATATTTTCAATGGCCAAAAAGTTTCTTAATAATTGTTGAATGCAAGTTTATAAATCGTTTTAAACAGAAATTTGTTGTAATACAATGAAAGAATTCTTATAAATGTTAATTCTAATGATATTTTATTGAAAGTTTTCGATTGTTAGTACTTTATAAGTGTGTATATCAATGGGACTGTATCAGTTTGTCCTAAGCCTATTTAATATGAAATGCATTGTTAGTAAAATATATAAATATATATAAAATAATAATTTATTAATAAAGAAAGAAGATAATATTGGTTAGAGATCTTAAAACTTAATTATGAATTTTTGGAAATGTAAAAATATAAACCCTAATTCCCCCTATAAATTTAAGGAATTCATCTCCAATTCGCCGAAGTGAAAATAAACCAAAGAAAAATTAAAAAAACTGAGAAAGAAAAATTAATGCCCCAACCAGGGATCGAGCCTGGATCTAATTCCGACCCTTGCCAGGACAATCATTTTTTATTTATTTTTCTTTGATTTGTTTTCACTTTTGTATATACGAATAAATACCTTAATATCCTAGGGAAAATTGTTGTTTACATTTTCACATTTCCAAAAATGCATGTTTTAATTTTCTCTCCTTTTTGTCTACATTTACAATATTTTAAATCCGAAAGTTATTTGGAATTTTTGGCTTTAAATAGAACATTTGTAGGCATTGAAAGTTGCCTACATTTTTACAAATAAGTAGGTTTTACTTATTCAGCAAAATTTGTGACTATTAAAAACAAAGCTTTTGACAAACTGACAAATTCTCATAGGAATACATGCAGATTGGAATCTGTATATTATATAAATATATTTTCACCATTTATATACGTATGTGTTACATGTTGAAACCAACATTTTGTTCTCATCAGAAAAAACAACATATATCTATATATAGTGCCATTATTTTCATGTTATTATTAGTGTCTTTTTTTATAAATGTTTTTAGAATAATAGCATATTTAAAATGTACACTTGTTATATTAGTGAGGATGCAGCCACTAACAACATACAGAGCAGATTTATATTTATTTTTTAATTACAGAACAAAATGAGATATTCGCGGCTCAAATGATACAAAATTTGTTTTTTTTTTTTTCATAGTTTACGTAAAACATTAAAAGCTTAATCGTTAATGTGTACTGTCTTCAAAAGGTTGGGACACAGCTTAATTATATATAAAAATAAGATGATTTAACTCAACTTACATAAAAAAATAAGATCTTAAAAGACCTTAACACTAATATTCCATGATTTTGACATGTAACTATCGAATAATACTGATTTGACGTTTAAAGAAAGGTATTTCAGCTAAGTAAATAAGTCCTATGATTTTATACATCAAGAATCCACTGCAAATTTTGGCTGTTATCTGATAGTGAAATGAAATATATGCTGAAGACATTCTAACAGTAAATTTTACTGTTATATCAATTTCAGGAAATTTTGTTATTTTATAACCTTCTAATTTGAATTAGTTGTTCCCAACTCTATTCTTTAAAATAAAGTAGTTGTACTTATCGATTTTTAAAGATTTGGAAGGAACTAATATAGGTTTCCTGTTTATATTCGAGAGAGATACAAAATACCTTTTAGAATAATCAAGTTTTTTGGTTTTGAAGACTTTTAAAAAGGCGAACACGGCCGTTTGGGGGGTTCTTTTCCTTCTCTCGCGGTGACATCAAGTTATTTTTCAAAAATATTTATATCGTCGTTGTGTGAATTTGTGCTAAATTGATTCGGAATTTAAGGTAAAACTTTTGCAGTTAATTTCTTTCATTTTGATAGTGACTTTACATATAAATTATCTTTATCTTTATTAGTATTATTATATACATTATTTAATTTTTCATTTACCGAATTTCTTGGGTTTTTTTATTTTTTTTTTTTAGAGAAAAACTTCATTTTTCTTTGAGAATATTAAATTTAATTTTTTCGACAGACTCTAAATTTAAATTTTTCTTCTGTATTGGTGACAATTAAAGATAAAGATTTCAGTTCATTCTTATGATTATTAAATAAATTATTTAATTTTTCATTTACTGATTTAATTTTTTTTTATTTTTAATATTAAAAATTTACATTTCCTTTTTTATTAACACTGTCTTTGTATATGCGGGGTGGACATCACCAGCAAATTTGAGCATTGTTTGGATTAGTTTTTTTTTTTTTCGATTTCTTTTTACGTTTTTTTCCTTTTACAGTTTTCAAGGTCGTAACAAAACGAATGGTTTTGCTTTTATAAAACGTTAGCGTTCCATACCAATTATTTTCATTGGTAAACATCTGCAAAATTTTTATTCTTGATTTTTCATCGGTTAAGCTCAACAACGAACGTTTTTTTTTTTTTTAATTTAATTAATTTTGATTTAATTTCGATAATCAAAAGGGAATAACGATCTATAAAGAAAAAGAGGAGTAGAATTATATTAAATTTTACAAATACATACCGTATTATTAATCTAAAGTGAACAATCGAGAATAATATTAAATTTTAATAAATGCAAGTTGTAGTTAGTTAAGTTTTTAAATTTAACTAACAGTAGAGATGGTAATTCTAATGTACTATATCAGATAATAGAAGAATTAAGAAACATTGTACTTAACCAAACAATACCTGTTCCAATCACTATCCTGAGTAAAGTGGTTAAAACAATGGCATTTCCGGTTGTCCTGATTTGATAATGAAATAAGAATGCCATCGGATAGCCACCTCTTTTCCTGAGCCAATGGTCGGCACGACCTTTTTTTCTGCCAACATTCTAGACTAGTGATGGGACATGTCCGAAAAATAATAACACAGTTAAATGTTTCTTAATCCTATATTTTTAAAAACACTTTGTGAACAATATTTACAGTTCGGTTTTTAGGAAAATCATTTATAAAATACGCTTTTATGTGATTGTATATTAAATAAATTGTCTGGGACAAGGCCTATATCTTAGAAATTATACTGTACCAGCAACTTTGGTTAAAGCACAGCACATGTTGATATTCGCAAATGGGACATTATGCCCTTTTGGTTGCATATTGTTTTTTTAACTCTTTATAAAATTACAAATTTTTTTGAAAATTTTCAGTGGAATCTCCTACTAATAAAAATTATAAAAAATTTACATATACAAAAAATATTTCTAAAGAATTGAAAGTTTTCAGCATATGCTATAAACAATTATCACCAAATTTGTATTGTTTAAAATACACTTACAATTTACTGATCGAGACCAAAACTATCTCAAACGTGACTTGGTCACAGAATCTCATACCAAAAATTATAAAAATGGTTTACAGCCTACTCTTTTTATACGACATTTTTTTTTAAAACATCACGCCTTATACCGACTTAACCAGACGATTTTGAATATAGATATGTTGAGTTCAATCGTTTAATTTTTGGGGTGAAAGAATCGGCTTTAAACTTCCAAAAACTGATGGTTAAATATCTGAAAAATATGAAAATAAATTCCCAGGAAATCCCCTAACAAATCCCTGCGAAATAATGAAAATTATTTTTTAACCCCAAGATGAAAACAAATTAATTGAAAAAAATTCGCTCTTCCAATTAAGCTATCGCTGACATAAGGGTCGTAGGGGTAATATTGGCATCTAATTTTTATCCAGACGTCTATAATTAAGCTCTATGTCCCAACCTTTTGAATATTACAATATTATCAATTCGATAGCTTCGGGAAATAAGGGGCTAAGTCCAAAATTGTTATTTTACAGGAGAATTTATTGAAGTTGAAGTGTTGATTTTAAATGGGCATGAATTCATATAGATTTCAAATTATTGTTCTAGGTTACCAAATTTTTATTCGAAAATGACTTATCCCTTATTACTCGAAACAATAAAATATTAGTTCTATCTGATATTGTCTCATATTGTTCTTCAATTAGCTGGTTTGGTAAGACTTTTGTCTATCACTGTATCGTACTATGCAGGACACTTCTTGTTATGTATAATTGTATTTGTTCGTGTTGTATTGGTGCTTTCCCAATTCTAATAGAGCAGTAGAAATGTACATTTGTAAACAAAAAACCAAAGAACCCCTTTATATTTGTTGTTAAAATGATGTTGATAATATTGATTTGCAAGAACGCAACAGATATTAAACTATAGCTGTGGTTAGTACAATAGTAGGTACCTACTTCACTTTTTTTAACCAAGGATTAGCTTATTTTTCTTAACACTATTGTGGTATAGAAGGTGCTATTAATGGCTTATAAAGTCACAATTGTCTAAAATAATTAAGAGGAGGTGTAAATAATAAAATAATACAAAAAAATTACTATAATTGCGGATGTTATGTTAGTTTTTTGTAATTTCACACTTAATAAGTAAGATAAGTCGAATGTATATAATATAAAACTAATTTACTTTTATGAGCCTATTTTTGCTAATTATAAGCGCTTATAAACAATAAACCTTTTCATTTTGAGACCTTCAGTTTTATTTAACACAGCTAAAAAAATTAGTTTTGTCCGAGCTATATGTTGTGTAAAATTGATAATTTTAAAAATAACTAAATAAACAATTGCTTCCAATATATTTTTCATTACATATATTGGAAAGTAAGATCTTAAAAAATAGGAATTCTCTCATTCAAACATTATTATTCACTTTTAATCGTATCAAACATTTTTTTACCAATGATATAAAATAGTCATTAAATTAATATACTTTGGTATTAATGGGGTTATTTCAAAAAATCTTTATTTCCAAATAGAACACAAATTGATTGAGTTATGTAAGTCGACATATATTTTTTGGTTCATTAAAATCTATAAATGCTGATTGGAACTTGTTGAGTGTACACAATTATTTATGAATTATTTCTTCCTAGTTTGTGAAAGGTAGAATAATATTTAATTGGCTGTTGTAATATTAAATGCCTACATTAGGTTAGAAAGTAAGATTCAATGAATTTTAATAATTTTAGATACATAATGAAGACGGAAGGGAGCCTTTAAGACATCTGAAGAGGTATTTTTCTTTTTTTATATTTAATTTATTCATAATTCATGTTCACATAGGTATATTAAATATTTTCTTTTATTTGTTGTTTTCTAAGTAGTTTTATAAAATATTTTTGAATTCCCATTATAAAAGGGCTCTGCTGATCAGTATAAAAAATTGTCATAAAATACAGAAAACAAAAGTCACAACATGCATAAGCATAGTAAAATCAACAAGCCAAATCTAGCAAATCGACACATTATAATAATAAATTAGTAAATATTGAAATAAAAAAGAGCATCAACTTTTAAAATATATAGGTAAAACAACACTGGTCATTAGAATGAGAGAGTAGCATAGAAAATTGCCCTGGACACCAATAGAATGAAAATAACACCAGAAAAATCATAATAAGACAGTATTCACAGTTGCAACCCCTTGCGAATATTTATTGGAATTCATATTTAAGCCAAATAATTCGTTTTTTTTTTTGTTATAATAATAAACGTTTATGTTTATATGACCTTCGATAGTTAGCAAAATAACATCACAATTATAGAAAAAGTAAGCTAATATTTGGTCTGACTTCGGCACCTCCTCAAATGTAAAGCCACAATGTAATAAAACGTTGTTTTTTGTTGTTCTACAGTCAAATGTACCATACACACTGGCTGTTAACTATGGTGTGCATATCCCCATTCACACCATTGATCGTTCACTGTATGTACAGTACTGCTTTCCCAAGGAATCTAGAGTGTTCAATGCTGTAGCCTTTCAATTTGTTTGTGATTTCAAAGTACATCTATTCTGTATATTGACCTACACAAAGTAAATTATATAAATATAAATTTTATTATACTATACATATAATATATTTTACTACTGTTGTGTGCACAAACCTTGCACATAGTATAAAATTTTTTATTATAGAATACTTGCATCCATTCCTTAGTTCATCTACCAAGTCTTTTTGGAAATTTTCAAATTTTTGTATGTTCTTCAATTCAAAATATTATCTGCCAATTTAAATTTTGAATTGGGTGTCCTATCGATTAAATCCTTAAAAAAAAGAGTAACTATAACTATTAAATAAGAAAAAAAAACATGTAGGTGCTATTTGAAAAATGAATGTTAAGGTTGGTTTCTATGGGAGGTTTGACACTGTAGATTTTTTTTTCTCATGTACTCTGTATTTAAAAATTAGCTTGTCAAATTACTCATAGCTGGCCGGAAACATGGGACACCCGATATGTCTAAATACATATTAAAAATTTTGTACATTTCAAAGTTTAAAGTTTTTAATTTTTTTATGCGTTTAACAAAATTTTGGCAATTAAAATATTGACTTTTGAGTGAAATATAAATATTTTTTGTTTTACAAGAATCTAAGACGCAGAAAAATAAATTAACAGATTTAAAAAACCTAAATTATACAATTAATTGTTCCACTAAAACATCTACACAAAATTTCCACATCTACTATCAAAATATTTCACCTCTTGAAAAAATATTAAGAGCAAACCGACCTCTTGCGAAATCAAACATTTTTTAGAAAAAAAGGTG